TATATATATGAATTTAGTAATTGAAAATATACATAAACATGGTAAAAATAAATTTTCGGATAAATTGGAAAAATTTCGTGATAAAAATAAATTTTCGGATAAATTGGGAAAATTTTGTAAATTTTGCATACGTGTTTAATACACTATGATCGAATAGAAATGAGTTCTCACCTGCGAGAGAGTGACTGCTTTTTCGCATATCAGCAAATCTTGTATGAGAGGAAGCTCGCTCGTGAGATGCAACTGTTGCAGTGCTATTAAAGCGCACTCGCACAAGGAGACCCGTTCCTCGCCAGGCTCGTCACTCAGGTCTATGTTTAACCTCCTGCAAAACGGAAGTTAAACGTTGAATAACGGGACGTGGTTACATTATTATATTACGTCAAGAGTTGTCCTCACACGGGAAAATACTAACCCTTGCAGAAGGTACAGCCGATAATAAATGTCCTCTCTGCAGAGTACGACGTCGCTCAGAGATCTGCTCGCGTCCTCGATTCCGCGTGCTTGAAGGCTCTTCAGCGCGTTCACTAGTTGGAGAAGAATGAACGACGCTTCTCTGCTTGTGCCTTCGCCGTTCATATCCTTGGACATCGCCCCGAACGATTGTATGGTGGTGATGTGCTGACATGGAAGAACTGAGATTGTGGCTGAAATAGAAAGATTATTTTTACGTATATATATTTCTGTTTTATATTTTGATATCTTGAAGTCGTGACGTTATTATTACCTTCGACATCGTCGTTTCCAGACGATTGGACTTTCTCGATTATTTCCTTCGGTACTCTATCTACAAATTCTATCACGGGCGCCAAATAGAAATCCTTCTGCGGCATGGGCATGGCCAAATCGAATGCTATGCAGAGAATAACGTTCTGATCATTCCACGTCGCTGGACAAAATATCCTTCTACCGATAGAGATTGATGATAGTGTGTCGACATTAAAGTGTTTCAATTGTGGATTCGCATTCTTGAGGGCGCGAAGATTTGACGGAAATTGAACGGATTGATTTTCCTAAAAAATTATGATAAAAAAAATATGTAATAATAAATAATAAAAAAGCAATGATAATCATTATATAAAATAAGAATAATAGTAAGTAGATAAAAAAATTGTTTTGAATTTAAAATATTTTATGTATCTTCGATTTAAAATTATTTTCTAAAGGCTACAGACAGAAGTTGCGTCTACAAATAGAAGCTAATAAAATCTCCGTTAGGCGTACATGAGAAATTAATACGTAAAGCCGAGCAGCAGTACCTGTTCAAGAAATTGAGCGAGCGCTTCGTGATTCGCCACAACCACCGCGCCGTAATTATCTTCAAGACTTCGATGAACGATGGTGCGTCCACGGCGTTGCCTCAAGCGGCCCATCCTCGGCTCGTCCTCCAATGTGTTTTTCCAATCCTGATCCTCCTCGGCGCCCTGAATTCACATATGTTCGATTAATAAGCGACATCCATGCCATCGGAGACGGAGGATGGAAAAACGTCAACTCGGATAGTCAACGTACCTCGTCGCCGGTGTAAAAAGTGTACGGCGCGTAGAGCTCGCTCTCGGTCTCGCTGCCGCAGTATGGCAATGAGGTCGACCTCACAAAGGGTTGATGGTGGACCTTCGATTCCCCGTTCATCGCACTGCTATCGGACTTCCTTTTGCAAGCGGCGCGGAATCCATTACTATTTCCGTGCCGCAGCTCGAGATTCGAGTCGCACTCAGGCGAACTCGAGAGGCATTCATATACATGACTGTCATTGGATGTCTGTTGAAATGCAAATAAATGTAAATTGCACTCGTGTTGAGACGGTTTTGGAATAATTTAGCGCATACAATGATTCGTATTTTTTTTTTTTATTATATATTTTATATATTTTTAGATATAAACCTTCCTTCCGAATTTGCAATTATCGTCGTATCTTTTTATGTGATCGGAAGATGACGTTAATCATAGATATAAATTTTATATATATAAATTTTAAAAATAAATTTTATTTCAATCTGTTTCAATATTATTTAAGTGTTTTTTTTTTCTTTTTCTTTTGCAGCTTGAAGATAAAACTGCCCACAGAAAATTATTGCGGTAATTATGTTCTTTCTTCATTGTTTCTTCATTGTATCTTTCCCAAGATGGCATTCGTCTTCAGTCATAGAATATTCAGTCATTGTTCGTATCAATGTTTATGCCAAGTCCAACGATAATAATCAATTCATATTAATATTCGCGTAAACATCGTCCGAAACCGGGTATCAGAGAAGACACCCCTCTTACCGGCGAGTCGGATGTTGGTCGTGCAGCAGCGAGTCCGTAATCCCGATGTTGACCCTCGGTCGACGTGTCCGACGCCCTTTTCGAGACGGGTTGGGAGACAGCTCGGTCCCTCATGCTGGCAGTTCTTTGGGGTTTCGAAGGCGCCAAGGCGCTGCGCACCTCACCTGTAACATCCTCCGCTGCTGCAGGCACGGTCCGCCATCGTCAAGCGCCACGGGTTAGTACCACAAGACACAAGGCATGTCAAGGAAACGGGGCGCAAGTTCGCCTAGAGCACTAGGGTACTCGAAGGAAGATCCGCGGGACGCAAAGTCGAGCCCGACGTGGCGATATGACGAACGTTAGTTCACCCATCGCGAGTTTTGTCCACACATCGCGCGTGTGGATTCATCACTATCGAGACGTGGAATTATTTTTTCTTCTCTTTCCTTTTTTTTTTAATTTTTAATATCCAGATACCTAACTTCATGAACGCTCAAGCGTTTGACTTGAGCGCTAACGCAGCGATACGTCCTACCGCGTTCAAAGCACTCGAGCACTCGTCGTCTCTCACGCGACATGCGAAAGACAGTGCGTGTCTTCTTTCCGCGAGCGAAGAGGAGCTTTCCTCGAGGAGCTCTTTTTGCGATCTTTACATTACGTTCTTAATTAAATTGTAATTCCTAAGTGATATGCCGATTACAGCGCATGCAATGCGTGCGGCGTTAGTTGCACCCAGCAGTCGGTTAGAGGAGTCCTCGACAAACGTCACTTATGGTACGCACCGTTACGTAACCATCGCAGAAGGGAAAAAAAGGAGAAAGAAAAGAAGAAAACGGTGAGAGACGCGAACGCGGATATGCGCAACGTTTACGCTTGAGTAGTCGCGCTTATGCCGCCGCGACGGACGTCACCGTTGTTCGCGTTTAATGAGAGGAGGAGGAGAGAGAAGAAAGAGAAAGAAAGAGAGAGAGAGAGAGATGCGAAGGTGCAACGAACAAGCCACAGCATCGGGGGATTACGTACCGTAAGGCGTACGTGGGTCCACGATCGAAGAGAACGAGAGAATGACCGATACGTGATCGAAAGAACAAGACTCTAATTTTTTTCTTTTTAAACAATATACGTTTATTCATCAGAATACAAATGTATTACAGAGTTTTTGTCCTTTGCACTCTTACAAGGAGCATTTTGTCGACGAACAAATAGCACAAATAGCGTATAACCAGCCATTCTCAAACTTTATATTGTAAATCTTACCGCGGATCTGTCTGCGTTGCAAAAGCGAGTCGTGTCGCAAAGAGCAAGAAGCAAATAAGCCTTCGATCAATATTGCTTAACGTTACGTTACGTGAAACGATACCGGTGCTTGACAGCCGAGTCTCGTCCAAAAAAAAAAAGTAAGAAATAAAAATAGGAAGTAAGTTCTTTTAAGTAAAAATATTTACGTCATTATGATATAACATTATGTATCACAGAGTGTTGTGACTTTCCAAGAGTGATTTATTAGTTTCTTCAGGACGTCCATATTGAACGGCCCCTATTTTCAACACTACAAATCTCAAGGATTGCATTGTATAGAATATGTCACGTTTTCAAGGAATAAACATTGGAAATTGAACTCAGCTAAATTATATACTTCAGTTTCAAAAATCCGACCAACCGCGCAGGATATAATTGTATCCCGGAGGATATTGGATATCACGACGTGGCTCGGTCGCTGTACCCACGCAAGCGACGTGACGTCTCTCCCGTTTTAAAAAGCGACTGGCGCGAGGATTCGTGTGAGTATGGCTGTTAACATCGAGAATGGTCGCGACGATTAACTTAGTTACACTGTATGGGCCTGAACTTACCCAGATTCGCGTAAATCGAGTCCGAGGTCGTCGCGGCGGTCGGCCTCCAAGTGGCTTTCGACGATGTCTTGTCGTTTCTCGATGAGGCGACGTTTAATTTGATTTCCGCGCGAGGTGGCGGCGGTCTTACGGGCTTATTTGTCGAATCTAGCCTCGACCAATCCTCGAGGGATTGATTTCTCGGCGGCGGGGGCGGTTTCCCGGGCCTCGCTGTAACAATAACATAACGTTTTTTTTTTTCCCCCTATGAGATTTTAATATTTTATTTTATTAAAGATAATTTTAATAATGAGTATTTTAACGAATATTCTGAAGAATAAATAAAGAATTTTATCTGAAATATCCAGTAAGTTACAAGGAACTTTGTGCTCACCCGCGGTTGATGGAGGAAATCGCGCCGTTCTCGAACCGTCATTTTTGGCACCGCAGAAATCCGTCTGATCCTCGCTCGTCCTGGCATTGATCCTGTCATTTCCTACCACCTCGACCGCGGCACCGTCCAACTCCAACGGATGGATTATCTCTAATCGCGGTTTCGGTTGCGGCGTCGACGGTATCTCGTCGGTCTTCGCGCCCGATGTTTGGCCGGTGATCACGTCCATGTCCTTCCGCGTGCCCATTCTCAGAAATCTCTTGAGGGAAAAACCCCTTCGGTTTCTACCCCTCTTCTTCTCCTCCCGGATTTCCTTTTCCGTGGTCAGACTATCCTGCGACAGGGATATCGTTCTTCTAGGTACGGATTCGATGGGCAGTTGCTTAACGTTCGAGTTTGTCGGATCTGGCAGATCGCAGACAGCCTTGCGGAACTTCGGACTGCACGAGGACGATCTCTCCCGTTTCTCTTTCTCGCGAACGACCGGGGAATCGGACTTTAGATTCGCCCCCGGATTCCTGGCGAACAGAGAGGACACCGGCAGAAAGTCCTCCGCAGATTCCGGCGGTCGCGGAGCCATTCTTCTCTTATTCGGCGAACGAACGAGCTCCATCGTGGAGACAGAAACCGGAGTAATTTCCGGAAACTCCTCGTCCAGCGTGATGTTGTCGTCTATTTCTTCATTATTCATCGGATAATCTCGCGACGAGGCTGGCGGAGGCAACGGCGAGAGAGCGGATTTCGATGAAATTTTCGCTTGATCTTCAGAGTCCAAGTTTTGATTTATAATGGTCGGAGAGACTTGATCGGGATCCGATAAAATCTCGTTCGTAACGTTCTTCTTCGCTGAACATCGAGAGCTCATATCCTGCGTACCTAGAAGGAGATAGTAGCTCGCATCGTGATGATGTTAAAACCGCATACTTTTCCAAAAAGCCAAAGAACGAAAGACTAAGATATAAGAAAATCCTTTTATTTTATTTTCATCGCGACAATAATTATATATGATTGCTACGAGCTATCCAACTTGCTCTCTACCTTATCTCTATTATAATTTCTTCTTTCTTTTCAAAATTCATCTCAAGACTAAACGACGAAAAAATTTCAAGATCGTACAACAATCAGAAGCAATTTTCCTGGAGGATTCCTGTTATTTTAGACCAAATAAAATGTAATAAACGTTTCTAAATTATCAATTATTTAAAACAATTTATCTCTAATATTGCTTGTTTTTTTTAATCGCATTTCAAAGAAATCGAAAAACACTCACCTAAATTCTGAACGGGTCTACCGACAACAGTTTGCACCGACGGCGGTGGTAATACATAGTCGCCGTTGGGAATTTTCCTCGCGGCAAGTGGGCCATCGTTCGTGTTCGCCTTCGCGAGAAAAGTCACCGGTTTCTGCGGTACAATGGGCTTCACCTTCGGGTCAGTATTAACGCCGCCATGTAGGAAAGAAGATCTCGGTTCCGTAGTTATGATCGGTGGTGGGCTCATGGGTAGCGCAGGTGGTTCTATCACCTCCTCCTCGTCTGCTTTGCCATCCGGTTCGCCCGCGAGCTCGCGGCTGCTGTCGAAGCAGAATTTCTTCCGCTCCGCGCCGTCGCACTCTCCTTCGACCTCGCGAACCTGCGACATCGGAGCTTCCTTGTCCTTGTTGACGATGTTCTTGTCGACGTTCATCGATCGCTCCTTCTCCGGTGCCTCCTCGTTCTTCGACGAGGCAAGCTCAACTCTCTCTTCCTTCCCCTCATCTTGTCTCGCGCACTCGCTTTTATTCGCTGTCGTCCTCTTTACGCTCTCTCCCACGTCGCTGCTCGGCGCAGATTGCGCAGGTATCCTCGGCTCGATTTCAATCTTCTTCATCGCTGAAACGGTGTTAAGGGGGACGCTAGCGACGTTTCTCTTGTCGGCTTTGCAGACGGGCGAATATTTCTGCGTCGTTGTTTCCGCCGTCTTCGCCGCATCTGCGTTGGCGGCGATATCCGCCGTGGTTTCCCTCCGCATGATGGAAATCATGTTGGTAGACGTGATTAACGGCATGTCCATGATCTTCTCCAATTCCGGAGGAGACTTTTGTTCCTGCTCGTCAGTCTTCTTCCGCTCCGACCCATTGAGTTTCTTCGTGACCTTTAACGTTTTATACACAAATGTTTATTGAAAAATATTTTGTAAAGTGGAATTTAACTCACGAGAAAATTTAATCGCTTTTTATAATATTGCTTTATAACTCTCTCTTCTTAAAGAATCCTGATATTATCTATAATCTTAAATATATAATTTTAAGTCGATCCAGTATTTAATTTTGCTTATATAAACAAGATTAATTCGGAATTAATTAATTCATCCTTAAATAAATAAATTATGAATCGAGGATTAATTATGAATCGACTCTCCGTAACAAAATTTATTTTCTCTATTTTACTTACTTCGGCAGTGTTATCTGGCGATCCACCATCGCCGGCCTTCAATCTGAACGGACTGGTTTGCAAGTTGATCGTGTTGATTTTCCGATCGACTGGCCTCTTGGCAGTGGGCACTCCTTCGTCTCCGCCGAAAGGAGTCACGGACACCAAGAGGGTTGTCTTTTTACCTTCAGCGTCTCTCTGTACTTTACCCAGCATCAACGAGGCGAAGGATTTGGCGGGCGACACCGTTGACGATTTGATCGTGTCCTGCGAACTCTCGACGTCCGTCAAATTTGCGGTGACCGTATTGAAGTTCGTGTTCGCGCGAGTCAAATCGAACAACGCGCGTTCCTCCTCGCTATCTGGCACCAGGTCCTCCGCCTTTGCGGAGGAGTCGATCGGTCCATCCCGGTCTTCCTCGCCGTCCGAGAAGTCGTCGCCGCCATAGCCGATTACCTCGGTGAGAGACTCGGGGAAGCCGACGTTCTTCTTCCGCTGGTCCTTCCGACAAACCGTCTTGCCACGTAGGATACTCTGTAAAAAATTATTCGATCGTCTGATTCCGATGGGAGCGCGACATTTATCACTGACGTGTGCAAAACAGGAAACAGGAGGTCTTAATAATCTTGATCGGTAATATTACATCCCGTTAATCGGATATACAAATAACTCGAAAATCTGGCACGACTCCAGCAACGGTAGAGAGCGTTAGCTTTCTATAAATTATCGAACGCTCAATTTATTATGTATCAATCCTTCGAGACGAGTGCTAATTAATATGCGTCATAAGTGCGTTATAAGTCAAGCTATAAATGACCTAAATTGAGTTGATAATCTAAGTCATCCAGAAAATAATATATAAGCGTATCTAATATAAATACAAAATATATATAAAAATATTTTTAATTTTTAAATTAATTCTAAATTAAATTTTTACTTAATTCTAAAATTAATTTAAACTGTTAATATTCAATTAATTCGAAAATTAAAATTTCTAATCTCTAAATATATAACATAAAAAAATAATTGCGTAAATATATACAAATGTCTGTAAAAATATATATATATATGATCTTAGTACTTGTAGCTGAAGATGATCAATCTTCAAATTCGTCGAAGCCTTCTCGACGTTCAGTCTCAGGCCATCGTCGGCCGACGCGTGTTCCTCCTTCGGCTTGAAACAGTTCGAGCAGAGCTCCTTCTTCCAGGCGTTTTGCACGAAGCGATTGCATTGTGTGGACATTGTTGCCTCACCGCGACAGCGACAGCGAAAGTCCCGTTACATCATTACCCTGAAAGGAAAGAGGTGAAATAGTAATCGATTCGACTCTTCGCGACGATCGACGATGCATTATGTACGCGCAAATAAACGTGATTGCGCGCGGGAAACAGCTTCAAAAACATATATTTGTACATACACGTGTGAATTAGACACGTTCTTTCTGTGAAAATTTTTCAAGCATCGAATGCTTTTTAGGAAAAAAAAAATCATCACCGCGAGCGAGTAGCTAATAGGCTGCGTTCTCCCTAAAATTTTCTCTATGACGAAACGCGACGCGACTGTCAACGAGCGATTACGTTGGCACGGCCGTTGAAAACCAAAACGAAACGAGTGAGTACATTTTCCTGTCCGCACCGTTGGCTACCAATGGCTACCGCGAATACAATCGGGACAATTGACTGGAGCTGCCCGACCGGCTGAGTAATTGCCTCACTTCCGGTCTCGGTTTTATTTGCAACGGTGATGGCCTAGCCCGTACCCGTCATTAGCAAGTAATACGTAAGAATATTGTGCCATCGCGAAAATTTTTTTTCTTCTATAAACGCAGTCGAGAGTGAATCGAACAGTTTGCGATAT